AAAACTAGATCCTGAGAAGCCATCAGAATGAATTAAGAGCAAAATGCATGCCTGAATAACAGAATAAATCCACTTGTGGGCTGAGAGTAACTGAATCCCTACAAAAGACATAATAAATTGACTTGTTGCCTGAGGATATTTAAGATTGAATGTCTACCAAATACAATGATTTTTTGTTTTGCAGAATTTTATGCTGAGTTGTTCCTTATGGAAGTAAGATGCTAATATACCCATACTGCTTCTAAAGTTTACTCCTAGACAATATGGCAAGGTTATCAGCATAAATGAATATACTTGTGTTTCCCTTTGTTGTAGCAGGATGAGATGAAGTCAATTCATTTCATATTTGTATTATGTTGATAAAGATTAAAAAGACAAATGCTATAACTTAGTCTTGTTTGACATCATTTAAGGATGGATTGCATTTTATCATGAGACTATTTCTACCTACTCTAATTTTGGCAAATACATTGAATGAAAAACATAATGATAGCTGAGGGATGGGTCCCATGTGTTGGCCTATAGAGAATTGTTGTCTATAGAATCACAGCTAGATGATGGAGCAATGATGATGTTTACACATGGCCTTGAGATGCTCTTAATGCTAAGGCATATCAGTGCACATGCATCAAAATCAATTATCACCATTAGTATAGCCATTATGGAAAACAGTATGGAGAGTTCTCAAAAAACTAAAAATAGAACTACCATATGATCCAGCAATCCCACTACTGGATATTTATCCAAAGGATAGGAGATCAATATACCAAAGGAATACCTTCATCTCTATGTTTTCTGCAGCACTGTTCACAATAATAAAGATATGGTATATATCCACAATAGAATTACTATATGGCCATTAAAAAAAAGAATGCAATCCTGTCACTCATCGCAACATGGATGAGCCTGGAAGACATTACGTTAAATAAAATAAACCAGATGTAGAAAGATAAATACTGTATGATCTCACTTGCAATAGTTTCCAGAGAAGGCTATTGGATCAAAGAAGTTTGGGTTGGTTTTAGTTTTGTTTTCAAGATAGGTGATGTTGTGGCATTTTTGTATGCCAATAAGAATGATCCTAAAAAGGGAAAGAAATTGATGTAAAAAAATTGTAACAACTGTGGGATCCAACTTCTAGAGAAAAGGAGATAGAAAGGTTTAAAGACACTGATAGAGGGCTTGGTCTTAGCAACAGAATTAAGTCTAACCTTTTCATACAATGGGTAATTCAGTAATTGAGTACAAATGCTGAAGTTGGTTGAATTGTTAGCAGAAAGATAAGATAATTCAGTTCACATTCAATTATATTTATTCTCTCTCTAAAGTAAGCTTCAATTTTATGAACAGAGAATACACATATGAAGAGAGGATGTTTGAAATACGAGAAAAGAGAATGTTTGAAGGTCTTTGAGAGCAAGAAAGTGGATTTTCTAGAGAACTTTGAGTAGCAAAGTTCAGATTTTCAGATTTTTACTGTTATAGAATTACACAGAATAAGTGGGTAATTGGGTTTGGCTGGGTTTGGGGTTTTGCCAGAAAACTAGTATCGTGGAGGGAGAGTGGAGAAAAGAGATTAAGAGTTTTCTCAAAGGAGTGTTCTAACATTAGCTTGTGAAAAATATAGGCTGAGAGAAAGGGAAGTAAGAACTGAAGAGAGATGATAGATGGTGGAAAGGAGTCAGTTAGGTCCATGGGTGTAAAGTTTGCATAAAGTCAGAGACTGTTTGCTGTAGGAATATAAAGGCAGTAAACTAAAAGGCTAGAAGGTGAGAAGAAGATGGTCATAGAAAAGGAGGTTTGGAATTAAAATTTTGAGGGTGCTATAACCATTGATGATGACAAGATAGCTCAACTAGGGTGGAGAAAAAGACAGTTGGAACTAACAAGGTCAAGGAACCAGAAGATCAGAGAGTGGGATAGACCCTGCACTCCCTGCCTCCTCTACTTCTTATTGACTGGTGACCTTGGACAAAGAACTATAAGTTGATATTCCTCAGTTCTTCATCTGAAAAAGGAGGATAATTATATAAATCACTTCATAGAGCTGTTGGGAAACCCAAATAAGTTCATATAAGTAAAGAGCTTTCATCTGTGCCTAGCACATAGCAAGCATGTAGAGGTAGCAGTTAGTTTGCATTTGTATTATGTATTTCTTTTTTATAACATGATGGCAAAGCTTCTGAATATATTGAGTGCTCATTCTATGATAGGCACTGTTCTAAACACTTATCTTTTTATTTTTTTTAAACCTCATTTTAGAAATGTCCTTGTGAGGTCTGTACTATTGTTATACTCATTTCACAGTTTAAGAGACAGAACACATCTAGTAAATGACAGAGACAGACTGTGAACCAAGTCAGCCTGGCTCTGGATTCTGTGCCCTTAACCACCATCCCGTGAAGTGATTGACAGGAAAGAGGTGAGGTCAGGTGGCAAGAATGCAATGAAGGAGAAGACATTCATTCTTCTCACAGTGAGTGAGGAGAAGAAAGGGAGAATGAGAAGACTTTGGTGGTAGAGATATGAGAGCAACAAGGATGGGTAACAGATAATGAAGTCCATGACTTGTATGTCAAAGAATCTGGGGTTTTGAGGGAGGAAGGAGGAGAGACAGCCTGGAAGTGACAGTGGGGAACAAGGTTTACAACACACAGAAGCATTTCAAGCATTTCCGACCAAAGGACAACATGAAAAAATAACTACAAATTTGGGCATCTAGTAAACTTGGCAGTTCCTTAGAATTCTGTCCTTGTCATTGTATTTTTATCCCAGGGAGCGGAAGTTCTTGTGAAGCCCTGTCCTTTAGCCCAGTCTTGCTAAGAATCGTACTCAGTTTAGAGGTGAAGCTATCAAGTTAACCAATGGGATAACAAGATGATGTTTTATTTTTGGTGACCCTCAGACCAATTTCCATGTGCAAGTATTATTTTAAAAACAAAGAAAACACTCAAATTTAGGGACTTTTTCTGTATGTGAGATATTACAAATAGTATAATTAAAATGCAATGTTTCCAATTCTATTTTTTTCCATGGCAGTTTCAAGGATAGGTTCATAGATAGATAGATAGACAGAATGTTTTTCAAAACCAAGTAGACATAGATGAGGGATCAGCAAAGTGCAGATAACCAACTAGGTTCGGCCTGCCACCTGCCTTTGTGTGGCCTAAGAGTCAAGGATTGCTTTTACATTTTTAAATTATAGAAAAAATTAAAAGACTAATAATATTACATGACATGCAAATATTATATAAAATTCAAATTCTAAATGAAATAATTTAGAACACTTTAAACCTTGATTAAATAAAATGTTATTCCCTAGAAAGAATTCCATTTCTCTCGTTCCATTATAAAAATGTGTACATGTTTATAATTCTTCTTATGTTTTGAATTTAATCAATAAAAAATCTGTGGAAATTATTCCTTCCCTTGTTACATAATCACATACATAATATTCTCAGACTTACCATTTAGCCTTAGAAGGTTAAAATATTTGCTGTTTGGATTTTTACAGGAAAAACTTTGCAAGCTTTTTTGATTCAATTCAAAACTGCTTCCAAGGTCCATTATATAACAAGAGTCTATGGCTATCTCTTTTCCCTCACATCCTAACAAAATACAACTCTTATGGAGTAAGAGAATAATGGGTAGACAAAATTTATATTGCTGTAGTTATCATCGTGTAAATATTATGAATGTGATATGTGGATGTCTTGGTATATATGTAGCCATTTGATCACATATTCATTCACCTTGCAGACATTTATTAAGCACCTACTCTATACCAGACACTGTCCTGAGTGCTGAGGATACAAAGTTGAGAATACTAGTCATTGCTCTCAAGAAAATCACAGTCTGATTATTTTATTATAGTGGCAATTTTGATATAATTTAAGAATAACAAAGGATTTCTACAAAATTTTGTTTTACATGAATATGCCCTCCTCTTTCTCCCACTCAATTGCCAGCTATTATTGATTGTTGGATTTTTTTATATATATAACAGTTGATAGATTCACTAGTTTTTCAATCTCAGCTAGAAAAATGGAGTGAGCAAATATGACGTCTCTCTCCTACTTTTAACTCCATTAGAATAAGTGTCTCATGTCCTCTCCTTCCTATACTTTCCTCATATTATGTCATTTAATTTGTTGGGGTCCTGGCATGCCATTCAGATAAAGTCATTCGAGGTCTGTGCCTCAGCCAAGCTGAACTGAGCATCACCCGTTATCATGGCAATTGTGTTGCTCATCTGCAGAATCAAGACCCAAAGCCATTTTCATATTTTTCAGTAGCTAACTGTTATCCCTTTCTTTCTAAATTGTCTCTGACATCAATTGCCCTGCAGGATTTCAGTGTGGGTTTAGGAGATTGAATAGCCAATGAATACAAGACATTCTTATAGCATGCAATCATAACTTGTATTTAGCTTTCATAACAGAATCTTATCCAAAACCATCTCAAAGATGCCAAAACCAATCCAAAACCACTTCCTAGGTCCATTGCATAACAAGTGGATATGTTCTTTCTCACCACATGATGGAGGGCACTACGTAGCTAGATGCCTCATCAGATGAATGTGAAAGTATTTGTCTGGCTATTATGTTTAAGCTACAAAGATTTCTGGTTCCATATTGTTTATTTAACATTTTTCTATTCACATTCATTGCTATTCCTTCCATAATTCCTGGGAAGAGTCTGTTGCTATCTCTTTTCCCTTGCATCCTAACAAAATATGACTCTTGTGGAAGTAGGAGAATTGGGATTCTAAGGCTTTTATATAACACCCACAGATCAAGAAGTAAGGGAGAAACAAAATGAGTATTGAAGGGTTGCATTGATAGAAACAAAGGAACCAGGGGGTATAGAGTTATTTTAATGTTAAAAAAGCATTTTCATTTCCCAAGTATCTTGTTTCCCTAAACTCTATGAACATTATTGGGTTTATCGGCCTTGGAAATAGCAAGGATTTGGGAATTCTTACTTGGTTCAGCAATCACCTGTTATCCCAAATGTCTTCTGTGGTAGCAGTAGAGATTCTCTGTGACTCCTGAGTCCATGGAAAAGAAGTGCTCATTCCTTTCCTTTTAGATTGTAAGTGCACAGAGCTGGGAGGTCTCTCGTGCTGTAGCCAGTACACTTTGCACACAGATGAGGGTTTGGCAATATTGGAATGGGAAGAAATAAAAGAATAAATTAAAAGTTGGAAGGGAAAGAAATTGGAGAAAAAACATAACAGAAAAATTAAGTATGCAGGGAGGTTGGTGTTACATATAAACAAATTGGCCAGGGGTCCAGATTATGCAAATGGATTCCAAACAGGTCCACATTCTGCTCCACCCCACCACCCAATCAATGAAAGGACAGTTCTTCAACTGTTTCTCATGGTCGCTAAAACTGCCAGCATTATCAACATTCTTGAAAGGTGTATTAAAAGAGATATGTAGTTTAACTTATTGAAAACCGTTTGATGGCATTTGCCTAAGAAAGTAATATATGAGCTGATTCATAAATTTTTGAGCTTGGGTTAAGCCTTACCTACACCCACCACCATCAAATTTAGAGTCTTCAATCAATTGCATGTTGTAAATTCCACATCTCTGGGAAGACACTACCATGCTTTAGCCTTTGTCATAATCCTTACATTCATTCTAAATTCCTCCATCTCTCACCATTTCTCCAAACTTTGTCATAAGCAATCACCAAAATAGGCAGTGTTTATTTGCTAAATGTTTCTCAGATCTGTCCCCTTCTCTCTTTCCACACTACCACTGCTTCTATCCAAGCCATTCACTCCCTTATTCTGATGTAAACCTAGTGGTCTCATTCTCTGACTCTACTTACAAGAGAGACTTTTCTAAATTGCAAATCTGATCATGTTACTTTCTTATGTACCTTTATTTGTGGTTTCCCACAGCCCTCAGGCTAAAGCCCACAGCTATCCCCATTTTTATAGTACTCTTCCTTAGTGGCCTTTCCAGAACAAATCCTCTCATGTCTTTAGGGGACTTTAAATGCTCAGTGCCATTTCTTCCAATGTTTTAAGCTTCCTCATGCTTGTGTAGTTTTGTTGTGATATTGTTCTTACCTATGTGTCTCATGAAACTTGGTGTTCCATAAGTGTAGGGACCATGTCTTATTTATTATTGTAGCCATGACACCTGACATAGTGTCTGGCACATGGTAGAATGAGGCAAAAGATTGATAACTTATAAAGCAAGTTGACAATTTCAAATGGAAAGGGTGTTCGCTGGCTGGGTACAGGTACCACAGTGATAACAATAAAGATATCCCAAGAGTCCCAAGAAAGCATAATGCCCCCCAAAATTTGGGCCAAGATGAGACAGCTAATATGACTGATGGGCACAAGGAAAAAAAAATAAATGCCTAAAAACAGTCTACTGCATAATTTTTCAGAGGGCTGGCCCTGATATAAAGGGTGGCTTAAAAGGAAATTACTGCCCAACACAGGAGTAAAGAATACCAATTATTTTCCTCTTAAGTAGGGCCAGACCAACTCAACAGAAAACCAGAGAGGATGGGCACTGCATTCCTGGAAGGAAGCTGCTGGTGCTGATGCCATCAGCCTGGCTGATGAAGGAGACATGATCCAGGAGCCACCCAGCTGAAGGCTGGTACACCACAGACAGACATGCTTCTTGGAAAAGACCTCTGGCAATTAGGAATTCAAGCTTAGCCCCAACTTTTCAGATGAAGCCTTCTAATTTTCCCTTTCCCTCCCCTGGGCTTCTTCCAGGAAACCTGCCTTGTCCTCTGCTGTGGTTGGAAAAGATCAAATGTGCCTTTTACCGAAAAGGCAGAACTTTTCTCTCCTCACTGCTCCGCTATGTAGACCCACATGTTGTGGCTCATACAGGACACTCCTGGGGCCTGACATGGGGCCACCTCCACTCTGCGTATGGAACGAGAGGACATGAGGTCAAGGTGCAAGATCAGACCTGCTAGTCTAAGACAGTAAATGGTGAAAGAATAACACGAACATGAAAAACACCACTTTGAACATAATTTTTCTGAATATACTTTGAGTCAAGACAATATTTTGCATGCTTTTGTGCCATTCCATTATGATTTCACTCCTGCTAACTAATTTAATCAAAACTTTACCAGGAGAATTAGACAAAAAAAAAAGCTCATGGCCTACCCTATCAATTGCAAATAAAAAAAAAATTAGTTGTTGAAATGAGAGAAAGAGATTTGACTCCATCATGGTACCCTATCTTTTCTCCCGATGTTCCAATAAGGTTTCCAAACTTATCCAGACATTCTCCACCTGCTTTCCATCGATACACAATATAACTTTCCACTAGGTTTCTTCGACATGCTCAGCTCATCCAGTCTACCTAGCTGCACCAGTACTTATAGCCATTACAGCATAGAATCATTCCTCTTCTACTTTGGTCTCTCTCATCATCTTGTGACCTTCTAGAAGATAGGTATTTGTCTCAATTGTCTTTATTTTTCACCCTCAGGTTACTCCTTCATTGTAAACAACACTTCCTGTATCTCACTGCTAGGCTATAACCTCAATATAACCAGGGTGCATAGTGTATTTCAGCACATAGAAGACAATGCATAAATTTGGTTGCTTGTCTAATTTGGTCAAAATGTTGGTTGGTCATACATTGCCATATCCAGAGTCTTGTATTCAAGTATACTGTTGCCCCTTTTCGAAGCCTTCACTTTCTCACATTAACTTAAACCTTGAAGATGGAAGGGATTGTATCATCTTCTTGGTGTCAGTCCATGAGACAGCTACAAATGTGCAGGTGCTGTTAACACTGAACATGATTTCAAATTTGGGGCAGCAGTGATGATGTGATCTAGGTCATTTCTCACTCAGGATGCTTGCAGAAAAACATCTGCAAATCTCAAGCAGTAGCCCTAATGAGACTATAAAATCTGAGTAGTCCTGGAAGTGGAGAAACCACAGGGTCACACAGGACAGATGTGGAAGGGACATGTACTGTCTTTTATAGATTACAGAGTTCCTGGCCCAGGACAAACCCAATTCTTTGACAGTCTCACAGTATTTTTAGCCACTGGGCTGACCAGTTTTCTGTCTAAATAATATTCCTCTTTTGCTTGCTCAATTTTGTCTCTTCCTTCCTTTCTTCCTGATGTTAAATGGTGTATATATACTGTATATTGCTAAATCACTGCCATATTTCTTGTGATTTTACTGCCAACATGCTCAAAACTCTTCCCCCCATCTGGGGTGGGGGCACCATAATTTTAAAAAAGTAAAAAGAAATGTATGGCTCTTATGTGAACAGACATATTCCATTTTATTTTCTACCACATTTTGATCCCTTCCAGCTTACCAGGCATCGTTAAGCACTTAACACATATCATTACATTTAATACTCCCCACAGTGACAGCGTAGGTACCTGTTATTATCTTCAGTTTTATTTATGAGAAAATACAAACAGACAAACTTTGCCCAAACCATCTGCTAATACATGATAAAGCCAGAATTTGAGCTTAGATCAGTGAGATTCTAAACTTTAACTCTTTGCTACTAATCTTCAATGGTTGAAGTCTGTATCTTCATTTCCCTTTGCTCTCTCCAATTCTAGCCATTTTCATAAATTTCAAAAAAATTCTTGTCTAATAGAATTGTGTGTCACATAAGATCACAGAAATCACAGGACTTCTTATCTCACAGATGATATAACTAAAACTGAAGGAAGTTAAATTACTTATATAAGATGTCAAAGATACTTTATGCCATCTCAAGGCAAAACTAGGTTTTCCTTGTCCTCCCACTGTTCTTTTATCCTTGTTACACTATGCCCCTTATATTTTTACTATGATTTTTTGATGAGCAGTATTTCTTTCCTTCATAGAAACAGCTCTATTTTGGCAAAGGAAACATCTCAGAGGAGATATCTAAATTCAGCTGACCCTTGAACCACTCAGGGGTTAGGGACACTGATTCCCAACAGAGGTGAAAATCCATGTACACTTTTTGACTCCCTAAAAACTTAACTATTAATGGCCTGCTGTTGATTGGTAGCCAACTAATTAACACCTATTTTGTATGCTATACATATTCTATACCATATATTATCTGAAGAAATTATGTCCACACCAGATAAACTAAACTGTCTGATGCTTACGGCATCCTGGTTATGAAAGATGATTGTGTAAATGCAGGATGTTGATTCATACTTCTTCATTTTATAAGTTACCCATAGGGATCACCAGCAAGGCCAAGCTAAGCAAACGTCAAATTGTGCCTACTGTTTTTGGAATGACCCTCCATGCTCCTTTATCCTTCCTTTGTCTCCTGGCATTCATCTTCTTCTCTGCTTATCTACCACCTGTCCATAGTTTCTCACTAATTTGGCTGCCCAAGCATAAATTGTACCAACCTCCTTCTTTTCTACTTCATCACCCGCTCTCTTCTTCCTTCCCTTGAATCCTCATTTCCTAAGCTAGATGATCTCACTCAAGATCTTGGGATTTCTATTGTTTGTTCTTTTCCTTCCTTTCCCCTACCCCTTTCTATATGCTGAGAGCACCCATGACCTTTCAATACCTTTCAACCTAGCCCCTACAGAAGAATTCCATCAGAATGGAGCAGTAATCAAATTCAAAAGCACATGTGTACAGAAGACCCTCTCTAGGAGTGACTATATTTAAAGATAGGTAGCAATACAGGTTTTTCAAATTCCTTAATGCAAACTGCTGGCATCCTTGACCTTCAAAGTTAAGTTTATTCATCCAAGTCTTGCTAATTACTGCCTTATTCCTCATTGTGACCATTACATTACTTGTTTCTAAATATAAAGTTTATAATTTCATTAGATGACAGTGAATACTTTATTTTTCCTTTAATGATAGGATTTATTCTCAATTTAAAAAGTAATGCAAGCTACTTTTAACAATCAAATCTATGAACACCAAAAAAAAACAAATTAACAACCTTACTCCATCCATTTCTACCCCATCAATCCTGCATAACCGGTGTTAATAGTTTAGTATGTATTCTTCCAACCCATTATTTATGATACAAAAAGTTATATTCAAAACAGATACATATGTTCACACAAAGATGTACACATGTATAAATAAATTATATTATTGTATTCCAAACATGGGATCATTTTATGCATATGGATATTTTCCTTGCTTTTGTTCTTAATAACA